TTTTCATTGAATGACTGGACGAATTTCTGGAATTTCACATAAAATAATTTTTATTTTTCCTTCTGTAACAGTGTAGGAGAAACAGCACTTCCAGCTTTTCTGATTTATTCTCCACTGGATGGATTTTATTAGTGATGGTTCCATTATAAATGTCTTTAACATAATATTTTTCAATGGAATTTGCAAAAAATGCCAAATAATTGCTGCAGAGAAAGTGTTGCTCAAGTGGTTGGAGTTCCCACAGTACATAAATGCAACATGGAAAGAGACATCTCTGCAGCTCTGCTGCAAACTGTCAATCACATTTCCCTGTTCACACCGTCAGTTTGAGGTCAAAATCTAAATGTGAAAAAAAATTATTTGGAAGTGTAAAAAAAAAAATCATGAAACTGTAAAGGGAACTTGAAACAATAAAAATAGAAATCATTTAGATTCCATTCTAATTATTTTATGTTTGCATTTTAGTTTTCTATTTTCCAATTTCAACTTTTATTTTTTCAGTTTCAACTAAGATTTAGATGTTTACAAACATTTTGACCCCTTTCTGACTCCATAGGTGGTGCCTGTTGCTGCAGCAATCCCTAAAAGCACTGGCAGGTGGGCATTTAATCAAGTTGAAAATAGACTCCTCTCTAGCCTGGCTGGTTTGTGGGCCCCCTATGGTGCCTCCGCTGTGTGAAGCTGTGACATAAAACTGACTACAGTCAGGGTGTGTATTTGCTGACCTTGACATAGGATTTTGTCCGACAGTTTAAAGAATACTTTGAGGATTTCCTCAACCCTGCTGTCTGGAAGCAGAAACTGAGTGCTCAGAGTAGATTTCATTAATCACCTAGGCTGAAGCCTTTGAGGTGGATAAAAAGCTTCATGGTTGGCAAGGCATGAGGGGTGAATGAGAGCTGCCCTGAGTATCTCAGGTCTCTGGATGTTGTGGAACAGCTGTGGCTGAGATGCCAATTTAGCATTGCATGGCAATTATGGACAGTGTCCATTCAATGGCAAACTGGTGTGGTGGTCCTTCTTCACAAAAAAAGAGACTGGAAAGTGTGTTTCTCAAGCTGTTGTTTACAAGTATAGAGAGAAGGCGGGGAACATCAATTCATCCAAAGTTGGGTTGGTGCTGCTGCCAGAGTAATGCTGATTTTGCATGAGTCTGTTGAGGTAAAGTGGGAGCTGTGCCCACCCTTACTTGTGGTCATGAAATCTCGGTCATGACTATAAGAACCGCTTCTTATAACTCTAAAGAGTCGTTGTGCACTAATGTAGCGATAAGAGATAGGTTATGGAGATCAGCCATCTTTGAGGGGCTACTCCCCATTGAATGGAGTCAGCTCATGTGGCTCGAACATTTGCTTTGGATGCCTCCTGGAAACCTCCAGGGTCATCCCAGGGAACTACCCTGGACACATCAAAGGAACCATGGGACTGGCATTAGAAACCTTAGAAACCATTAGAAATTCTTTCTAAGGCTCGGACCCACATGCAATGAAGCCAAACAGAGAGACACAATATAAAAGTTCAACGGGTTTTATTGAAGGGTATATTGAGTTTGGCGCAGAGTTCCTCCGAACTCTGCTCAGCCGGAAACTGGAAGATGAAGGGGAGACAGGCTGTTAGGTTCAGGCTCAGTGGGAAATTGGAGTTGTCAATCTTGAAGGAGGATTTGTTGCCACTCACGTTTCCAGAGAAGGAGAGACACTTAGACTTCAGTCTGTGTGATGATCTTCCAGAGAATGTTTGATTCGGTGGAGGGCAGAATAGGGTTTACCCAGAACTCAGACGGAGTTGATTGATGTAGCCGCTGGCTGCAACTCAGTTTTCCTGTGGTACTTGAACAGGTCGTGGTGAAGATGACTTCTTTACTCAGAGAGACCTCAGTGTGCTCAAAGTTGGCGGGATCCAAACCTTCTGTTTGGAATC